CCTCACCCCTTGTCTATGCGTGCCCCCCTTAAGTTCTCCCTCTCAACAGTTCTTCTCTTCCTGGAAGAAATCCGGAAGCACCCATGTGAGGTGTAGACCATTAATTCGTAGGACATCTCAGCGACATCCGTACTATCGGTGAATACAAGTAAAGCCTAATAATGAATTAGCTCTGGCCTCTGAAAATATCCGGACCCTCAAAATCAGAGTTTGCGTTGCAGACCTATCTTCTCAGCCGAATGCTTGGTTCCTTTCCTGCCTATTGCTTTTAAGTACATTCCGTACAGATCGTGCTGCTCTTCGCCTCTTCGTAACCTAGTTCCTGGAATACGTATAACTAGTACCTTTGTGCATCATGTTGAGTGTACACCAAGAAACTTCATCTGAGTGGGAAGTGAGTTAACCGAGTCCAGCGCGTGAATTGTTCACTGCTGCCCCAAAACCAGGACCATGTTTGCTTACCGTACTTGTTGCGCCACGATCGATCTTCCCCTCATCCAGGACGGGCGAGATGTTATATTGGAGGAATTCAACACCAGAGCAGGGGAAATTGCATTACGGGATGATGTACTTCCCTCTGTTCTACACATACTCCGACGGCACTTCCACGGTGGATGGAATCTACACGCATACCGAGTCGGTGCTGAATGAGCAGACGATACGCTTTATGCAGCATTAGTTGACAATAGGAAAAGGGGTTGTGTTGTTAGCGGTCTCCACCTTAGGTTATATGTGTCGACGTCAGGATTATGGAGCCCGGGATGGGTATATAAGAGACGGGTTTGTTGCTGGAAATCGATAGGCAGCGGTCCTGGCCACTCAAATCTCCTGCCCGACGAAAGCTGTAAGTTATCATCTCTCCTTTGCGAATGGTGTCTCTCATGCCTACATATACCCCTAATGCTGTCTAATTCCTGTACTGTCAGGTTGCCCACTCTGCTCAATGGTTCAAGTCGAAGCCTGTTTTTCACTCATTTCCAAGTATTGGATACGTATATACCGACGTTCATGGTGTGGTACTATTCCCGATTTATGTTCTTACCAAGCTCTGTGTTGTGTGCCGGGTCCAAATCTTGTGCAACCAGAATGTGGTCATGTAAGCCATCGCGCTCCTTGTTAGGGCGGGTATTGCTCCATCGTCGGGTATGTCATCCCAATCTCTTCATCTACTGTTTACTTCGATACATGTTCCACCAATGCTTTTGACACCTGCCGTTCCCCGTTGCTTTAATTATTCCATCCAATCTTATTTTAACATTTTGATCCATACCGTTATTAGGTCTTTCTTAAGGCTTGCCGGTGGTTTTTTATCCGCCCTAGCAACGACCGATGTTTTCTATGGGCACACACTGTGCAGTACAATGGTTTGCGACTTGTGTTATTATACGATTTCTCCAGCAATTAGCTATTGCACTCTTGACTTGCCTATAGCGTTTGCTTAATTAATCGATTTGTGACTTGAGTTGTTGCATAATTTATCTAGCATGTAGCTATTTTACCCTTGATTTATCTGTCGTTTATGCGTATTGCTTCTAGCATATACTGTATAATTCATCGATACTGTGGGTAATAGTAGTATTGTTCATGTGAAAATTTGGTTTTTTTGGATGTATAGATTTTGATGGCGTTTGTGCTTTACTGCAATAATGAGGGACTGTTTATGGGTAACATTGATTTATCATTGGTTGGGAATAACATTGCTAGGGATTTAAATGTCTTGACGTTTGCAAGTTGAATTTCTTCTATCACCAAATCGTGCACGAAAGTGTATTTGAATTTATTCCTAAGAACATATTTTAAGCATGTTTCTTGTGTTCAGTTATAACGCTTACATGTTGATGTGTTCCCTTGTCAGATTGTGTATAAAAGTGCGATGTCCAAATTGGGACTTCTCGTGCAGAGCATAGATAATCCTTAATCATATGTTTTTTATTTACTTAATATTCATGTCTTAGTTGGACAAAAAATCGATTTTGAAGCCCAGTTTCATCCCCAAGGCACATACTCTACAGAACCTAATTAAAGGGAATATTTCTGTAGTGTAGAGTATGTACCTATAGTGCAGTTTAATCACAAGTTTACATGTTTGTTTCGATCTGCACGGGAAAGAATTTGAAGAGAAAGTCTAATTTCCGATCGCGTTATCAACTCTAGTATCTCACAACCACGTGCTCACAATTCCTCCCTCAAAATTTGTTTTTTTATCAGATGGCCCAAACTTAATGGAATAGAACAAGTACATATGTAATATAATATACTGCGAGACAGCTCATACGCTAATTTACATTTCTGCATGTCCTCGGTACACAGTAATTTCTGGCATGATTTGTTGAATGGGGAACCAAAATCATAAGGGATAAATGGAGAATGGACATGACGTCGAAGGCCGAGTGTGGCGAATAGACTAGACAGGAAAGAACAGCGATCATCATTCAGAAGGGGTAGAATTATTGATAGCAAGTCCGATCCGATTGTTTCAGACAGGGGAAGTGGAGAACGGGGGCTGGTGCAGATGATCATGACGCGAAGGGTGTTGGGTAAACCAAAGAAAGATAATACGGGCATATTAGAAATACAAAAACACATGGTATGCACATAATTTTTGAAACCAACAGAACCGGAGGAAATTTCGAGATGGCAAAAGCTCGTAGCAACCGATAATGAGCAGGCCTGCTGCACGACATCCTGCAAAACGTATTAGAATACAAGAGAAAGAATGAGGCAGAAAGTACGCTGCGACACGCATTGACGAGACTCACCAATGAAGATGTGAGAATGTCCGCGTCCATTTGCACACAGTCAGCTGCCCGCCAGCAGGACCAGGGTCGGCAGTCTCACGCAGGTGCAGCGGCACTCTTCGACTCCTTTGGAGCATCGCCGCTGACGATGGCCATCGTCTTGAGAGGTACAGCGATATCCGAGATCGTGCGCTTGAGCATGTATGCCTTCCCGTTCACGCCCTTGTGTGCATTGTCGATTCGCACGGAGTTGAGCAGGTCGAGTGTGTAGACGTAAAGCTCCTTGGAGTACTCTTTCAACTGGTTTTCTTCTTTGGATAGGCTCTCGTTCGCCTGAGCCTTATTGACAGAGGATGGCTCTTGAGTCTCTGCGGTTCGAGCGGAATCGGCCTTCGGATGCTCTGAGGTAGTCGTCTTCTTAATCGATGTCGTGGCCGTTGTTGAAGGCATCTTAGAGATGATAAGTGAGGACTTGTGTGGACAGATGAAACGGCGGAGGGATTAAGAAAGCAAGGGATACAGCAAGCAGTTAAGTGTTTGGCGAAGATGCGTTCCTCTGGCTGCGTGTATTTGCCAGGTAGAACGGGGAAGGTGAGGGATAGTTATAAGCTGTGAGCAGGCAGGAAGTCGGGAATACCCCGTGTTCGATACTCACGTGACTTATCTTATTATCTCTCTGCAATGCACTGAACTCGTGCAAACATTCATGGCCAGACGTCTGGACCAAGATATGCGCTGGGAAGCCGCTCAATCGGCAGTCCGAGTACTTCTGACTCTCAAGTGACTCAGCCACTACAGAGAAATATCAACTATGCCAAGACACGCGTCCTATCTTATGTTCCAAAATTGATACACAGTTCCGTAAACTACACTCTTCCTTCCCCTTTGGACCAGTGTTCCGGTGCTTCTGGCCTAGGTCTCTTCGTGCAAAACACAAATTTACGCGACTGCAGGCGGTCTGGAGGGCATATTCTTTGGCACAGGATTCACCTTGTTCTCGAGCTGCAGCATGTCGCAGAAAGCCTCGGTCTGTAGATTCGTAAACCAGGGAGCTGTGAAATGAAGGCATGCTAAATGATACTACTCTAAAATAGGAAGAAACGTGCGAACGTTGTCTATTCCTGTTGGGTCCCTCGCTTCCCGGCCCAGGTGCTGTTGGCCAGAAGACCTGGCAATCGTGTACATCTCTATCGCTGATGTTCCTAGTTACCCATTCTAACTCTTGTTTTACCCTTTCTTTTGCTTCTGCTGTGTCCGGCAGTCGAGGTTGGAGGCGCTCAATCGATAGATAAGGATGGAAAGCTCGGGTGATTGCTAACCATTCTGGATCGAACATGAGTCGAGGAGTCTCCGGAGAATCAGCGCAGGGAACGTCCACAACCTTTATTAGAAGTCAATTCAGGCTGTTTAAAGATTTGAAAAACAAATCGATCAAAACCTCCAAAAACTGTCGCCGCGGGAGGCATTTGTCCAATGCAAGAAACTTTGTCGTGTCCCGTACTGGTGGCGGCGCGGCAACACCCTCCAGCTCATCATCGAGTAAGATCTCGTCGGGATTGATAGGCAGTTCTTCTGCCCGACCCGCTTCCGATGGGACAGTGATCTCCACGGGTTTCGCTTCGGCCGACTCCGGGTCAAGGTCATCATCAAGATCATCTATTACAATCTCGTCTGGATTGTTTCCATCTCCCTGCCCTTGTCATTCGGTAGTTCAGGCTACAGAGGATAACCGGTATAGAACACCACGAACCTTGCGTTCTAGTTTGATAAGATAGCTCTTCATGAACGACAGTCGCCTCAAACCTGCAATGCAGGTGTGCGGAAAACCACCAACTTGGTTTTAATCTCCGAAGAAGCTGCATGGCTGGAGGCGACCCAAGTACATTCGACTCAATATCTGATCGGAAGAAGGGCTTGCGGCGAAGTAGATCATCCGCGTCCCCATGTTTCGCAATTCCCTGTGGCCAGTCATGGGATAATACTATATCAGCGGATGATAGCTACAACATGTCGATATCAATGTCCGCTCAAATCTTGGGGTGGGCAGCAAGCGATCATGTGTGGAGTTCACCTGAGAAAGACGGAATATATCATATTCGCGAACATGATATATACTCCGAAGCGCGCCATTATTGTAAGGGATGGCTTCGAAGTGACCTGTTGACTTGTTTCATTTCCGAAGATCATGTGTGTGCCCCTTCAGTAACTCACCTAATTTGTAATGATGTTCCGCATAGATTCCCGACAGACCCGCTATTCTGATTCCATTGACCTGCACGCAGCCTGCGAAGCCGAGGAAATATATATTTGGAGCTAACCATCCACCGTGATACCTAGAAGACACCGAAGAACAGTTCGTGTTTATCGTTCGTCTGCAGATGACCAGAGGAATGCCTCACAGCTCCCACATGTAGTTCGACGCCTCGTGATTCCCACCGATAACGAGTGTCAAGATAGGCGCCGTTTTCTCTCCCGTGTAGTATCTATGCGGAGATTAGTAATCGCCCACGTCAGCGGAACAGTCATAATATTGAAAAGATGCCAGTGTTTACGTTGCGGGAATGCACGTTGTGCCCCAACACTCAACAACGTGGGACATCGCAAAACATCGACACCCCCACGAGTCCACGAGGGCTTCAATATTACGTAAAAGAACTTGACCCACACCTATAAAATCCGCCTATACGCTTGTATTTATCCGGTACGGCCATGCATTGGAGGTCTTGGTGATTTCGCATGGCTTGGAAGTCACCACAGATCAGCAGGCAGTCGACTTTATAGTTATTTTGTTTCTCCAGTTGAGAAATATGCTCATATATAGAATCGAGCTGTCCATGACAACATCCCTCAATGGCGATCTAACAAGCATTCAGAGAGGTGAAGAAAGTTAGCAATGTTCGGAGAAATGGTATCAATTTGAAACAAAGAACTATTTACCTTCATACTACAAGGACGTAGATTAGTCACTAACGATGTTCAAAGTCTCAAAGGCAATAGCAAAGTGCTGCGTTTCTTTCTTAGGCTCACAGTGCAGCACAACATGTGAACCAGCTTGTGATGAGGTGAATTTTAAGCAGGAGCGTGAGGAGCAACATTCCACTCTGCTTACGTAAGCAATAATTATATTCACGTGCACCGTGAATCGTTTGTCGCGTCGCGTCGTTTCGTGCCAGTGCCACTTGTATTCACTAGTCTCATTTCTGCCTTATGCAGTTGATATGACTTGGGAGGACGACTTCAGAAGGAGTTGTGCACTTTTTCAGCAGCGCAAACACGAGGCGGCTTTGAAACCTTTCAACAAAGTTCGTGCAGCTCTCTGCCATTGATCTCGGAACGCCAATCGCCCGGTGCTAACAGATTGTTAAAGGCAGCCCGTGAAAATAAGACGAATAGTTCCATTTTCTACCTAAGGTCTCTCGTATTACGATGGTTAGGTCGATATCTCGAATCATTGAGGGACGTCCAGAAGGCCATCGACCTCATGCCAGAGTCAGAGTCATGGAAGGTCAGTTGAAAACTCATACTTCAATATGATATGCAATGTTCCGATTATCTCCACCAGGCATATAGGCATTCTGCTGCAATTCTTCTACAGATAGGCAGACTTGAAGAGTCTCTGAAAATGGTAGATCTGGCTCTAGAGCGTGCTGACGAGAACGCCAAGAAAATTGCAAAAATAGTGGAGCTACGGGAGCAAATAGTGAAGGCGCTTGAACCACGAGCATGCCATTTCTCAAAGCTACCAGTGGAGATAAATACCGAAATATTCGCGCTCGTCATCGATGGTGACAATGCAAACATGCTCGCTCTCACTCTTGTTTGCCGAGCTTGGCGAGACATCATCAACGGGTCGTCGCGCTTTTGGCGTAAACTCGTTGTGACGCCAAAGACGAGGCGGAAACAGGCAGATACTTGGCTCCAACGTTCAGGGGGGACATTGACTACTCTGCTTATTACTGGAGGACTTTCTTGTAGTGCCCGACCCGGTATTTTTAGGGAGGCTGAACCGACCATATGGTCGGAACTCAACACGCTTAAATTCACCTCCCAGAAGAGCTATGACATTTCATCTCTTCCTCACGGGGCGGCCGATCAATTGAAACTCGTAAAGCTTGAGCTGCTTATTGGCAAGCTAACCAACGGTACCTTGCAAGCCCTTAACAGGATGGACAAATCACGTCTCAAAGAGCTGGTACTACGTTCTGAGTCTACCGTTTTACCCACGATCGACCTCTTCCTCCCTTTCCCGTCCTTAACGACTCTCGAACTGTGCTTTCCATTCTCGGCAAAGTATACTCTCTCATTTTTGAAGGGAACACCAATGCTTCAGTGTCTGATCCTCACATCGCCGTGGTGCGGATACTTTAGTGTAGAGCAAATCGATCCCGTTGAACTCGTCCATCTCAGACACCTGATGCTCAATTATTTCTGGTACACGAACGAGTGTCTGCAATACATCCACTCTCCAAACGTCAGACTGCTCACAATACGACACGTCCGTAAAAAAGCGTTAGCAATACCGCAATATCTAACAAAGCTTGAACGTCTTTGCCTTGAATGCTGCATCCTCCCTACGGCCGACTTCGTCTCTCTTTTGCGACTAGCAGCATCACTTCAAGTATTGCAGATTCCACGGTGCAGCTTCCACGGTGGCAATGAAAATGCTGTTGTTAGAGCATTGCCGAGACCGATACCAACAGAGGAGAAACAGTGTGCATCTCGGATGCTCTGCTGCCCGAAGTTACAATGTGTAGTTCTTTCTGGACTCCATTGTTTAAAAGCAGATCCGGTAGTTGAACTTGTGAAGGCGCGTCTCCCCAGTGCACGGTCCTCAGATAGTGAGCTCTTATCTCCGTGTTCACCAAAAGAGTCGCCGGTCATACCACTTCACATCGTTTTCTTGAACCTTGACGGCTGCCCGATATTTGACCCGAGTGCATTACTTTGGCTCAAAGCTGCCGTATCGTGTTTTAGCTATAGGAGGTAGGGTCAATGCCACAGGGACTAAATCCATCGATTTTTTTCCCTGGCCAAGTTTTATTGTTGCGGTTCCATACTCGTTATACGATGGATTAGATACTCCTTTTGATATGTTTCTATCGCAAACATGCATTGCACAGTTACTTTTCACGCGGTTCATCACTCATGCTGCTTTTGTAATTCTGTCTCATTTGTCCTTTCAGTGAATCACCATTGCCATGATTTTCAACTCCTTACCCGAGTTGTTATCCATGCTTTTACCCGTTGAAGTTTTATACCTACGACTTCCAGTTCGCTTTTTAGTGCACCATACATGCTCTTCCACTCTTTATTGTCACACTCGTACACTGTACAAAACTGCATTTGCACTGCTTTTCCATGGATGTTATACTTCGAACTTTTAGCTCTACGGTCCATTCCACTCGAAGATGTCTGACTTCTCAGGGACGAGCAGTGTCCTCAAGAGCAAGTTATCCGACGACGATCCTACACGAATACAGCTATGTGGAAAAAGTGTTCGTCTTTCCTGAAAAGGTAGACAGATTAGTAAGTGATTTTCGTCGATTTATTAGGCAGTTAGAGACGCGTCAAGCCTTTGTCTTGTGGCTTGACGCGTCTCTAACTGCCTAATAAATCGACGAAAATCACTTACTAATCTGTCTACCTTTTCAGGAAAGACGAACACTTTTTCCACATAGCTGTAGTATACCTCCCTTCTCAATTGTCTTCGATCTAGTACGAACCTCGTCCAGTGTAAGTTCTATACAATGTCGCTTGCCTGGCTTCAGCTCACAAAGTGACGAACGTACTCGAATGTGCAAAGCGCGATGGGAACTTGTACTGGTGCTGATGTTAGTTGATGTGCGACTATGTGGTAGAATGAATCCAAAGCACCATAAGATATGTAGACTATCTAGAGCCTTTCTAAACCAACCGTCGAAAGGATACGAAAGGAAAAGAGCAAAGATGGTGAGGCACACCCTGACACAAGGCCTGGCACACCTGAGACACCTCTCTGCATGCAACAATAAGTCGCCACGTGATCGGGTTTCCTTTTCACCTGCCTGAATTTTTTTCCATTCCAATATTGTCACCACTCGCATCCACTCCTACCATTCGACTACTGCTATTTCGGCCTTACGCAGTTGTCATGACTTGGGAAGATGACTACAGAAGAGGGTGTACGTTCTTTGAGCAGCGAAAATATGAGGCAGCTTTGAGATCTTTCAACAAAGTCCGTGCAGTTCTCTGACCCTGATCTCGGAGCCAATGACCCAATACTAACAGATTGCTAAAGGCAGCCTGTGAAAATAAGACGAATGCATCTACTTTCTACCAGAGATCTCTCGTATTGGAACGGTTAAACCGCTATCGCGAATCACTGAGGGACGTCCAGAAGGCCATCGACCTCATGCCAGAGTCAGAGTCATGGAAGGTCAGTAGAAAGCTCATAATTCAATATGCGGTGTTCCGATAATCTCCACCAGGCATATAGGCACTCCGCTGCACTTCTATTAAAGATGGGCAGACTTGAAGAGTCTCTGAAAATGGTAGATATAGCCGTAGAACGTGCCGACGAGGACGACAAGAAAGATGTCATTCTCGTAGATCTACGAGAACGAATAATGGAGGCACTTGAACCACGACCATGCCATTTCTCAAAAATACCGGTGGAGATAAGTACCGAAATTCTCGCTCTGGTCGTCGACGGTGATTATGCAAATATGCTGGCTCTTACTCTAGTATGCAGAGGTTGGCGAGACATCGTCAATAGGTCGTCGCGCTTTTGGCGTCACCTCGTTTTGACGCCAAAGACAAGACTGAAGCAGGCAGATGCTACACTCGAACGTTCAGGAGGAACATTGACTACTCTGCACATTACTGGAGGATTTTCGTTCAGTACTCGGCCCAGCATGCTCAAGAGAGCTAACCCCGATATGTGGTCAAGACTTGAGACACTACACATTACTTCCCAAAGCAGCCTTCGCTCCTTGTCTCTTCCACCGGGGACGGTTGAACAACTACAACTAGTAAATCTTAAATTGAGTATGGATAAATTAGACAATGTGACATGGATGGCCCTTGGTAAGATGGACAAGTCGCGTCTCCGGCGTCTCATGTTGCGTGCCAACAATAGCGAACTCATATCGAGCATCAGTTTCTTCTGCGCTTCTTTGACGACTCTCGAATTGTGTTTACCAATTACGGCAAGGAAGTCGCTCTCGATCCTGAAGGGAACACCGATGCTTGAGAGTCTGGATCTCAAGTCCGACGCAACCGAATACTTTAATCTTGGGCAGGTTGATCCTATTGAACTTGCTCATCTCAGAGATCTTCGGCTCAACCATTACTGGTACTCGAAAGAGTATCTGCGATACACTCGCGTTCCGAACGTCACAACGCTCACTATAATACACGTCCGTGATCCGTTGGTTATACCTCAATACATAACGAAGCTTGAACATCTTCACCTTTCACATTGCGTGCTCCCTGTTTCCGATTTCATCACTCTTCTTCGGACATCAACGTCACTCAGAACACTTGAGATTCCGCGGTGCAGCTTCCGCGGTGCCGATGGAAATGTTGTTATTGAAGCATTAGCGAGACCGATACCAACGAGGAAGAAACAGGGTGCATCTCAGATGATCTGTTGCCCACAGTTACAGACTGTAAACCTTTCCGGACTCAGTTGTCTAAGGACAAATTCGGTCGTTCTACTTGTGAAGGCGCATATACACGGAGTAGTATCCCCGCATGACGAGCTCGAATTAGCCTCTTCGTCGGAAGAGCCTCAGATCAAACTACGTCGCATCCTGACCTTGGTTCTTGACGATTGCCTACTATTTGACAGTAATGCTTTAAATTGGCTTAGGGCCAGCGTAACGCATTTCAGCTTTAAAGGCAGACCACACTAGGAGTCATAATCATCGTCGTATGAACTGGATTCGTCCCTCGTGAAGTTTTATCGTTGCGATTCCGTGCATTTTGTTCTAATGAATCAGATCCCCTTTCTGTGCTTTATTTTTACATACGTCGTACAAACCCACGTTGTCCATCACTCCTTGTCTTGCGTGTGCAATTCCGTCTCGTCCATCCAGTGAAGCACCATAGCTGCGATTCTTAACTCCTTACCCCAGTAATTATCCATGCTCCTTGGTGCTGATTTCGGTGTTACAATCCACGCATTGCAAAGCCGGCTATTTAACCGCTTATGACACGCTCTACATGTGCGATCGTTTCGTCCCCGTGAAACTTTATTACTACGACTTCTAGCTCCCTTTCCAAGTGAATCACGAATATGCTTCAACACTTTATTGTTACACTCGTACACTGTACATATCTACTTATCTCCTGATATTATACTTTACGTGATTGTCCCTACCATCCATGCCACTCGAAAACGACCGACTTCTCAAGGACAAGCGGTACCTCGAGAGCAAGTTATCTGATGACGGTCCTGCATGAATGGCATACGCTCCTTTCTCAATTGTCCACAAGCCAGTACGTTCCTCCCAATAACTTACTACATATTTCTCCAATTTAAGTTCTATAGAACGTTTCTTGCCCGGCTTCCGAGTCAGTCGTAGATTTCCTTGAACGTGTGAAGCGCGGGGGGAACTTGCGATATTACTGACGTTGGAGGATGTGCGACTATGCGGTGAACGGGGTCAAGGCGACATAAGATGTACAGATTATCTAGAGTCTTTCTAATAAAACGTCGAAAGGACACGAAAACGAGCAAAGGCGACGAGGGAGCTACAAAATCATACAAGACACATCTGCACGTAGCACAAAACGTGCACCAAAACATATTAAAATTTATTCCTAAGACACAGCTTTTTTACATATCGTGGTGAATATAAGGTCCTTATATATGATTATAACCTCGCATGTAAACACATTGCCTTACCTTAAGCTTATCACTCTTTTTATAAAGTTGCCACGTGATCGAGTTCCTATATTTTCAATGTTCATTACAACCTAATAGTGTTGCCACACCTATCTACTTGTACCATTTCGATCTCAATCAGTTGCCATGACTTGGGAGGACGACTACAGGCGAGGGTGTGCGTTATTTGAGCAGGGCAATTATGAGGCAGCTTTGAAATATTTCAACAAAGTTTGTGCAGCTCTCTGATCATCATCAAGAGTAGCGCCAATACTTACTAATCGCTAAAGGCAGCCCGTGAAAATAAGACGAATGCGTCTACTTTCTACCAGAGATCTCTCGTATTAGAACGGTTAAACCGCTATCGCGAATCACTGAGGGACGTACAGAAGGCCATCGACCTCATGCCAGAGTCAGAGTCATGGAAGGTCAGTTAAAAACTCATAATTCAGCTTGCAATGTTCCAACTATCTCCACCAGGCATATAGGCACTCTGCTGCGCTTCTTCTACAGATAGGCAGACTTGAAGAGTCTCTAAAAATGGTAGATCTGGCCCTAGAACGAGCTGATGAGAACGCCAAGAAAGTTGCAAATCTTGTGGATCTGCGGGAACAAATAATGAATGCACTCGAACCACGGCCATGCTATTTCTCAAAGCTACCGGAGGAAATGAGTACCGAGATATTCGCCCTCGTCGTGGACAGCGACAATGCGAATGTGCTCACTCTCACTCTAGTCTGTCGAGCTTGGCGAGACATCATCATGAGGTCGTCACGGTTTTGGCGTAACCTTGTTTTGACGCCGACAACAAGGCTGAAGCAGGCAGATACTTGGCTCCAACGTTCGGGGGGAACGGTGACTACTCTGCACATTACTGGAGGATTTTCGTTCAGTACTCGACCCAGCATGCTTAGGAGAGCTAATCCCGATATATGGTCAAGACTTGAGACATTGAAAATTACTTCCCAAACCAGTGTTTGCTTTTCGTCTCTTCCTCCGGGGACGGTTGAACAACTGCAACTAGTAAATCTTGAATTAGTTCTGGCTATGCTATACAGTGGGACATGGGTGGCACTTGGTAAGATGGACAAGTCGCGTCTTCAGCGCTTCATGCTGCATGCCAACAGTAACGAATTCATGCCGATGCCGAGTGTCGATTTCTTCTGCACTTCTTTGACGGCTCTCGAATTGTGTTCAACATTCTCGGCAAAGGAGATACTTTGGTTCCTGAAGGGGACACCGATGCTTGAGAGTCTGGACCTCACACCCTCCCCATCCCAGCAAGTAAATCCTGGGCAAATTGATCCTGTTGAACTGACTTATCTCAGGCACCTTCGGCTCGACCATCTCTGGCACCCGAATAAGTATCTGAAATAAATTCGCTTTCCAGACATCAGAACGCTTACTGTAATACGCGCCCGTGGTCCGTTGGTTATACCACAATATCTAACGAAGCTTGAACATCTTCTTCTTTCATCTTGCGTTGTCCCTGCTGCTGATTTCGTCGCTCTTCTTCGGACAGCAACGTCACTTAGAGCACTTGAGATTCCACGGTGCAGCTTCCGCGATGGAGATGAAAACGTTGTTATTGAAGCATTGGCGAGACCGATGTCAATGGAGGAGGAGCAGGGCACATCTCAGATGATCTGTTGCCCACAGTTACAGACTGTAAACCTTTCTAGACTCCGTCGCCTAAAGACAGATCTGGTCGTTCTACTTGTGAAGGCACATTTACTCGGAGCAACGTCCCCACATGACGAGCTGGGATTGTTCTCTTCCCTGGAAGAGCCTCAGGTCAAGCTACGTCGCATCCTGACCTTGGTTGTTGACGATTGCCCGCCGTTTGAGTCCAATGCATTACATTGGCTCAGGGACGTCGTAACGCATTTCAGTTATAAAACAACATTCATCTACTAAAAGTCAGAATCAATGCCGCACGAACCGAATTTATTGATTCCTCTTCCCCACTATGTTTTGTTGCGATTCTGTACTCATTGTTCGATGAAATGGATACTCCTCTCGATGCGTTGCCGCTGCACACACACATCGTATAAAACCACTTTGTACATTGTACAATACTTATTTTGTCCTGAGCGTGCGATTCTGTCCCAAATTCCTCCCACTGTCCTTCCAGCGAAGCATCATTAATTCCAACGCCTTATTCTAACTATTATTTCTGCTCTATAACGCTGATTCCATTGTTACAGCCGGATTTTATACTGTATATAACACACTCTATATGCGCAATTGTTTCTTCCCAGTGAAACTTTATTATTACTGACTTCTGGCTACCTCTCTTCGTGAATCATGCATTTGCTTTGACGTTTATTGTTTCACTCGTACACTGTACAAAACTGCTTTTGCGCTACTCATTTCAAATATTATACTTCACACTTTTCACTCTACAGTCCATTCCACTCGAAAACGTCCGACCTCTCAAGGACAAGCGGTGCCCTCAAGAGCAAGTTGTCCGACGAAGATCCCACGTGAACCGTGTACTCGCCCTTCTCAATTGTCCACGAGCCGATACGTTCCTCCCAATAGCTCACAGCATATTTATCCAGCGTGAGCTCCACAGGGAGTTTCTCGCCCGGTTTCAGGTCACGGACTTTCTTGAATGCGCGGAGCGCGAGGGGGACTTGCGTGAGTGCGGATGTTGGAGGGTGTACAACGTAGACTTGGATTGTCTCGGAGCCCGTAACGGGACCTGTGTTGGTAATGGCGAGCGAGATGGTGATGGAGAGGTCTTTCTTCCCGTCCGACGAGGATACGACTTTTGGCTTTGAAACGCTCAGATCCAGATACTGGAACGTTGTATATGAAAGGCCATGGCTAGTTTCATACGTCAGACAATGATCATTGTGATTGAGATGAAATTGCGTGCTTACCCGAATGCCCACAGAGGTTTGATAATTCTATGTTGAAAATGTTTGTAACCCTGCAAAGAAACTAGTGAACCTCTCCTTCTCCTTAAACACGACAATCGGTAACTCACGACAAACAAGTCCTCAGAATAGAGCACGGTTCCATGTTCAGAGTGGAAGTGCCCATGAGAGGGTACGTCTTCGAGTCTCTTCGGGAATGTGAGTGACATCTTGCCAGATGGGTTGACTTTCCCTGTCAGTACGTCGGCGATGGCATCCCCTGTCGAATTTCCAAGGTACCATGCGTGCACGATCGCGGGAACCGAATCCGCCCATGGCATTGCAATGGCAGAACCCTGCAAACCAACGGAAATGGAAATCGGGAAATTTGATGGAGTTCATATAGAGATTAGCAGAAAGAACTTACCGACTGCGTAACAACGACGGTCTTCTTATTCGCCGCTGCTACCTTCTCCACAAGCTCGTCCGTCCGACCAGCCAGGGCCAGCGTAGTCCTATCATACCCTTCACTTTCCCAATCGCTATTCAAGCCAACGACAACGATAGCAAGATCAGCTTCCTTCGCAAGTTGCACGGCAAGTGCCATATCTTCATCTGGATCCAGTACCACTGCACCACCGAGGCGTATACCAGGATTAGAATCCATAAGTAACTCGTCTTCGTCCTCATCCGCTGGGCCACGTACATTAACGTAGTGTACGTGTATGTCGTGCGATACGCCTGCTTTCAACTCGAAGATGCCTTTCTCTTCTTGCGTAGCTGTGGAGAAGAATGCTTCACCGCGACGTTGGCGTGTCCAGTTGTCGATCAGGAGTTTACCGTCGACGTACAACTAGAATTTTGTCAGGTATGTTAGTATATATGTAAGGTCAAACGAAGCAATCTGCAGACCTTGGCACGTCCAGCCACGGTCAACCCGAATTCAAATTTCGTGTCCTTCTTCCTAGGCTTCATCTTGCCACGCAAATGGAGCGTGAAGTGTGATGCAAGTCCTTTGGGCTTGTCGACTGAAATGAACGCATTTGTTTCATCGATGACTTGCGTGAGCACTGGGTCGCCCTGAGCGGTAAGGCCGTCTGGTCCATTAGAGTACCATTCTCCGACCCAGCATTTCTCGCCCTTCTCCGTGACAAGATCGTTGTCGAGCGAAGGGAGGGCCTTGAAAGCTAGTTATTCACAAAAGAAACGTCAGACATGAATTTAGACGATGTGGATTATACGGACTTCTCGCGCCCTCGGCAAAGGTGACTTCAACGTTTTCCCCAAGTGCTTTCACGATACCATCGAAAGGAGAAATGAAGTATGATGATTTCAACGCTGCGGAGCCTCCGCCTGACAGGACAAGCGCCTTCGCATTACCGCCAACAATAGCAACTTTCTTCAGTGTCGAAGGTTGAAGAGGCAGAAGATCCCCCTCATTCTTCAGCAGAACGACAGACTCCGCGGCAACTTTCCGCATAAGAGCCATATCTTCTTCGCTTTCATGCGTCCGCTCTTTGCCATCACCGTCAAGTACATCCGGCGCTCCCTGTGCACACCTCTTCACGAGCTCGAGCACCTTCGCCGCGCGTTCCTTGACAATACGCGCGGTGGTCTTTCGTGCTTCAACTGAGCGACGGACTTTGTCCCATGTACGCCATTTGTTTGTTCCTGGCATCTCAAGGTCGAGACCTGCATTAATGCTATCTGAGACGCTGTAAACGCCGAACCTGGTATTTTTATTTCTTAATAGATAGTAGGATGTTTTAGCACGTTTCCAGGCCTACCAGTCACTCATGATCATGGCATCGGAACCCCATTCCTTTCGGAGGACATCTTTAAGCATGAACGGGTCCTCGGAGACGTGCAGTCCGTTCAGCTTGTTGTATCTACAATTATTCTTTACTTTCAACGCATATAACGACAACAATAACCAAGCTTCACTCACGCTGTCATGACGGACCAGGGCTTCGCATACTTCTCGGCAAGCATGAACGGCATAAGGTAGATCTCGCGGAGAGCCCGCGCGCTGACCTGACTATCGTATGCATTGCGATCGTTTTCTTTGTCGTTCGTGCTATGCAAATAATTTTGTCAATCACATGAAAACGACTTTATGTATTATAAAACGGGGACAACTTACGCGTAGTGCTTGATTGCGGTTCCAATCCCTTTGGACTGGATGCCCGCAACGTATGCAGCCGCGATCAGTCCCGAGAGAGTGGGATCCTCTGAGAAGCTCTCAAAACTCTATTTTTAAACAAAGTACAATCTGATCCGTGCACGATGCGAGAAACTATGCCGAAACGACGTACCCTCCCGCCGAGTGGGTTCTAAAGAGAGTACAGATATAAGTAAGTCGACTATATTACTTCGGATCATTGGGAAGAGACGCATTACGGAGAAGTAAGGATAAAGATAAGACGAAGTAAATGCTTACTCGCTGGATGTTGCACGTCGGTGCTAAGATGATGGAGGCAGAGCGCAGTTTAGCCTCCGGAGCAAGGAGCTTCGCGCCGACCTCGTGAATAAGGTCTGTGTCGAATGTTGCCCCCAACGCTGTAGCAGACTGTCGGGATGAAGTAAAGGGGAGTTAGTAGGGAAACTGGTATGTTGTCCGGAAGGTGAAGACAAACTGGCAAACACTTCGCCGGAGTTCCCATAAAGAAGAAATTCCCGCGAACACCTGTGCAGACGGGTTAGTACAAAGCATACTTGTCATTAGCGACGTGTGCTAGACGCATTCATATATACCATTTGGTCCGTCGCTGACCTACAAACACATGTCATTAGTAGGACGTCAACCTGATTTATTCAATAAGAGGGCGCTGACTTTGACGGCAGGTATATTGAGGCGTTCAATGCCATGGGTGTGCCAGAAGCCGACCCCAGCAATGAGTGCAGTGGCTTCTTCAAGCGTGAGTTTCTCAACAATGCTGGGTATATCAGCATTTGCAAAATCGGAGGGTGGCATCGTTAACTATTGAGAGTGTGAACGGGGCTCTGTGGTACTTCAGACGACAATATTGGGGTTGAGAATGGGTTGAACGAGACGGTGAGCCGTGCATATATACCAGTGCCATTGAGCACCATACCATGTGTAGAGCTGATTAGCCGTCCCTCCGAAGATTCTCCGGTAGTATGGTAATTAGCTGCAACTGTGCGAAGCTTGAAGACATTCATGGCTCGATCGCCGTATTTTAGGGCTCACGTGTGGTACATAAACATGTACGAAGAAAAGCTTCACGGATAAATGCTAATTGAGGACAGCAGAAGAAGGCCCAAAGCGGAGATACGGATGAGCAAATCTAGTGGGAGCATCAACACATGAGAAGTGTCGCTGTGCAGGATTAGTAACTGTTCAGGGGTCGCACCAGATGTCCTGCTGATTGTGCACCTTATGCGTCTATCGCACTGCACTCAAGTGTCGACGTGAAGGTGTGTTGTGAACATTATTAGTTGCACCAGCAGTAGTGTTGTGCCATTTATAGCTTACTTAATCTATTTGTACGTGAGAAATAACAAACGTGAGAGGTAACGTCCAAATGTGGATCCGAAAGCAAAAGCTAGTAGCTACACTAAAATTGCTAGCTTGGATTACTTGGTGTTTCACTTCCAATCCGAATAAATTAAACTGTCCCTCGAGTTGATTAGGAGTATTGGACACATGTATATGAGGTCTAGAAAACACTTGTAAAAGAGTGGAAATTTGGAATTGCTAGGCTAGGATCCCATTCGCAGCACGAGTTAGCACCAATTAGGCAGCCTTGCCGGACCGAGCCGAAGCACATCCGTATGGATGGATTCTTGTGCGTTTCATCATTGACACAGGTCACCGACGAGTAGCAATTAATTTTCAGACAGACACCGATACGTACACAGCAAGTGCAGATGAATCATGGCCTCCTCACGCGACGCTGACCAGATCGAGACTCAGAATGACCAGCGTCTCGATGAGCTCACGTCAAAGATACGCACTTTACGTGGTGTACGTGCTTCGCCAACACCCCCTGTTCTCAGTGCATTGTAGCTCACGAGAGACGATAAATGCTAGGTGACTTCGGATATCCACGAAGATGTCGAGCGGCAGCATCTTACCTTGGACGAGACTGTACGTCTTTCTCTCTCTTTCGTCTCACTCGTCATACTTTTCTGCTCATTTGGCTAACGTGTACACTCCACAGTCAAACACATTTACGTCCTTCGGATCCTCTCTCGCCCAGTCCTCTCAGCGCGCAGCGCGCGCATTCGGTCTTTCAGGTGGCGTACGGACGTGGCGCAACATCCTCACTTGTGTAGGCGTTATTGTCGGTTTATGGGTCGCGTGGCGGATCTTCACTTGGTGGACGAGCTGAACACTAATCTCCATATTGCATTCTACGTCGGGTTCTCAGGTCGTTAGTTTGATGGTGGTGCTTCTATGACTATGATGTTATTACAGTATTGACTATTCCTCGGTTGAGTGCCACTTATTCTTTGTTTCATGTACCTATTTACCCTGCATGCTTCATTCCTGTATATGATAGACTATATCGGACTTTTCTACACATGCTGCCCACGTCTGATTCTGGTTCCTGGTTCTCACTTAGGTCGATTCTTCAAGAAAGCTACTATCGTTCATAAAGAACATCTATGAGCATGCTCTACATCTCGACCGTTCCTCATACATGTTTAGATTTGGTCTTAGGTCCTGTTGACTCATGATGCACCTTCAAGAAGGCCGCTGTTTATGGCAAAACGCTACGAACCGAGTCGGGGTATCGTACAAAAAAGCACAAATACTATAATATAAAAAGAGCATACTCAATAATGAATGCGTATCATCCACAAGAAGTGTGAAGACCAGCCAGAACAAGACGGGACAAGACAAACAAAGCAGTGCGGCTCAGCAAAAGTCCATCTCCCACCCCTTCTCTTCTACTCATACCCTACTGTCTCTAAGTTTGTATAGGAGAAGCAGAACTACACCTTCAAGAAATTAGTCCGTTCAGAGTTCCCGTCGTCCCTCCTCTTCTTTGCTGTTTCCCGCCTCTCTAATCTGTGCGCGAGTTGACTACCAATGAAATCGATTAAGCCGTCTGCAGGGCGTTTTGGTCGTCGCGGTGGACTGGAGGTTGAACTCGATGAGATATCTGACTCGGCGCGGTGCGCGGCGTGTAAGGGAGCGAGAGGAGGCAGCGGTGGGGGTCGAGGAGATTCGTATTGCGTATCCACAGGAACTGGAGCTTGACCTTGCCCATCACCTACATCTTCAGAACTGTTTTCGGGTTTCTCGGATATAGGTTGTGTGTTCGTCCCTGGTCCAAGACCCGCGGCAACCTTGAGTGCATTGACACCGGATTCTGACTCGTGTGCACGGTGTTGCTTGTATATAGGCAAATCAGAAGATCGTCGGAAACGCTGGAGTGGACTTCGTGCACGACCGATACGCGCCGCGATGCCCATGCTACCCTCCGAATCGGACTGTTTATGTGTTGGTGGTTCGTCCGTTTTGCGTAGATGTGGGTTGAGTAGCTGCGCGGAACTTCCAGCAGTAAGGACCGTCGCCCCGCCCTGGCTTAGAAGGCTAAACGGACTATGCCGACCATCGCCCAAACCAAAAGGCCCATGCACCCGTTGCGCCATAGGATGCGAATCCCTATCTGGCGTGGGCAATAAATCGGGATGGAACGGATCCGTACGCGACGAGGGTGAGTGTGCAGAATACACATCCGCCGAAGCGGGCGACATCGGTCCACCAAAGAACGACGGCGGTGACGGTGGAGGCTTGTACGACGAGAACATCCGCGTACCGGGTGTCCCGACTCTCAAAGCAGGCCGACCGTCTGGTCGGCCTCTATTCCGGCGGACACACCATAAGCCGAGCGCGAGCAACAACGCAACCGCGATGATACCGCCGAAAACAGCCGCAAGGACAAGCGTGAGCTTTGATGTCGAGGATTCGCCCGAGCCGTTCCTGCCAATGCGGAACCCACCGACCGCATATCATGAATGATATACATTGTACGTATTTTTGGTGACGCAGCACGCGGGCACGGGACGCACAGCGATTCGCGTAGTCGGAATTGGGACGAAAGAGGAAATCAACAGGTCGACGGAGAGGGGGTCATCACATCATCGATATAAGAGATGTATCGGTCAGCATAACTTTGATGCGAGAGATCTCTCAGGCGAGGAACGTGTGTACTCACGATGTTGAAGGGGATGTGGTCGCCGCAGACAGTGTAGTCGCCGAAAGCGAGGATCTATCGAACATGAGTGTACCCCCAAGGATAAGCATCACTTCTAGGAAGATTGGGAAGCAGAAGAACGTACGATGCTTCTGACACCCAAGGTGGGGAAATCGTCGGAGAAGCTGTTGGAGAAGGTGAAGATGTACCGGCTGGTGATGGGACCGTAGCATTGCTGGGAAGAGATACAGTATCAGTCTAAAGTCCAATTCCCTTCCAGCCCAAAATAATGCGGGCGCTTGCGAATCCAGTCTAAAAAGGTTTCAAAACACACCTATCTGTCTGATTCACTGTGATGGTGATAAAATCAAGGTCGAGCCATTGATTAGCTCCATCATGGTGCGCCGTAAATGACACGAAGTGGGTTCCCGACGTGTTGAATGTATGTCCGAATAACGGCTGCTGGTACTCCGTCTGCGAATCGGAGGCCGAAAAGAAGATGATGAAGTTGTCGAATTGTATGCTATAATTTGCCTAAGACAATAACAGATAATCACATCTTAGGACGTGTTCGACGTGTCATATCATGTGTACGCACATGCCCGGGTCCCTTGGAGCCATATAGATAGATCGCAGAGCCTGTATCACGTCTCCCATCAGTACGCCGACGTGACCGACTCATCCAAATAATGATGAAACGGGGAGAGGGGACATGTGAATTGCAATAGAGATCGTACCGCTGAAAGTGAGGTTGGCGGAAGCGCCGTCTGCTTGCGCACTATGGTACGTTGACTGGAAGAAGCGCTCTGTATTCGGGTCGACAGAAGACGATTGTATGGCCCAGTTGCTCGAATAAATAATATCAGGCGAGGAGTCGTCGATGGTTAGATTCGTAGACATTTGAATAAATAAGGAGGCTCGTTAGGCAGGCATGCAAAGCGGAGAGTAGCAGATCTGAACAAGAATACGATAAGACGACAGTAACCCTAAAGAACCAGAGAGAGGGAGAAAATGAGTGAGTACAAGTTGGTAAGAGAGGAGAGTTCACAGAGGGAGCCAAGAGGCAGGGGAGAGAGGACCACGGCAAGGTACACCGGAGAAGACTTATAAGGACGGAACATTTTGATTGTTTATTTCGACCCTACGCTTATATCAAGCCGTGCTGATGACGGAAAGGTTGAATCGATTGTGCAAGCTCTGGGAATCGAGCCGCGGGAGGACCTCAAAAGGTTCGACCGCCGAAGTCCAGACAGACGCCAATTCATTTCCGTGATCTACGCCTAACTAATTCCGGTCTCTTATCGGGTCTCCGATTCTCACCGCTTAGACAAACGTACAAAGTCTCGCCCACGAACTGAACCTCGCGCGCTAATCAAAAGTACAAAAGCCAAATCTATCAAAACAAAATTAGCATCACACACAGATGTATGAAATGCAAAGAGAACCAGGTTCTTGATAACGATGATGAAAATAAATACGTGAATTATGTGCAATCTAATGGACAAATATGCCAATATGCCATGAGCTATGTAGACGAACGCATTGGTATCTCCTGTCTTTCAGGGGTCGGACATTCTCGAGTGGAATGGGACATCGATGGAACACGTAAGAATAACATCTACAGACGAGCAGCACAAGAAGCAGCCTCTACAATGTACGAGTGTACCAGTAAAGCATCAAAGAGTAAGTGTAATTCGCTGAAATATGGAACTGGAAGTTGCAGCAATAGAGCATCACTGGGAATAAACAATCGCACATGCAGAGAGTGCGTGCAACACAGTTTAAAAGCTGGGTTTTACAATGCGTGCGGATAAAACTGTGTAAGAGCCGAAGAGCAAGTATAATCACTGTACCAGGGACTGGAGGTTGTAGCAGTGATGTTTCACAGTAAGAGCAGATGTAATGGAACTATGTGAATAAATTTAGCATGAGCAATGGTCAGCGTAAAAGTGGTTTCATAAATAGCATGAGAGCAAAAGCAAGGCACAAATAAAGAGTACATACCTGATTCGCCGGAACAAGTAGTTTTGGGATACCAGAAAAAGAGTTTCGCCAGCGAAAGAACAGAGCGGCGATTCTTGAGACTCGGTCATTAAATTAGGTACCTTTTGCACCCTTTGTCTCCTGGACAGAAGTATCGATTCACTATTTCTGCGTCAACTCGTGGCTAAGCTCCGGTACGACAGATTGGAGCCAGGGTATTGCATTGCGCTCGAACTGCGGGCAGTCATCAAGGATCAAAGTAAGGATACGGAGTGGCTCGCCCGGTGACTCTTCCGACGAAGACGAAGATCCGAGCTCGTTTTTTAATGACGCTACACTGGGAAGGTGCGCCTTAACAAGCCGGAGAACTGCACCTGCTTTCAGACAAAGGAGTCCAGAAAATTCGCGAGCTGTAACTGAGGGCAGCAGATCACTCTAGATGCAGCCTGTTTCCCCTCGTCCGTTGACACAGGTTTCGCCAACTCCCCAATGACTGCATTTACATCAGCATCGCGGAAGTAACATAACGGAATCCGCAGTGCTTTAAGTGATGCTGCTGCCCGAAGAAGAGAGACGAAAGCGTGCGCAACTAGAGTGCAACCTAGTAGATAAAGGTCTTCAAGCTGCGTTAAATTTTGAGGCATCACCAGCACATCGCCAGCGTATATGATATTGAGCGTTCTAACATTTGGAGAACGGACGTGTTGCAAATATTCGATCGTGTACATGAAAAGATGAAGCTCCAGGTGTCTGAGATAGGCAAGTTCAACGAAGTCGATTCGCTCTGTACTGAGATGTCGGGTTGACGACGACGTGAGGAACAGACTTTCAAGCATCGGTGTCCCTTTCAGAAATGACAGGGTATCCTTTGCCGAGAATGGCGAGTGCAGTCTGAGAGTCGTTAAAGAAGTGAACAAGAGGTTGGTCGTCATCGCTTCACCGGATGCGGCGCACAACACCAAGTGCCGGAGTCGTGACCTACCCATCTTGCTCCGGGCCTGCCAGGTTCCAGTGGATAGTCTATCGATATGCAGTTCAAGCTCTTTTAGATTCAATTTGCCGACCGCCACCTGAGGAAGGGAATCTATGCGGAAAGCCTTCTTGGAAATAAGTTTTAACGTGTCGAGTCTTGACCATATACTTGGGTTCGCTTCCCTGAGCATATCGGGCCGGGAACTAAACGAAAACCCTCCAGTGATATGCAAACTGGACAACGTCCCTCCTGAACGTTGCAGCCAAGCGTCGGCCTGCTTCTGGCTTGTCTTCGGTGTCAAGACGAGGTTACGCCAAAAGCGTGGCGACCCATTGATGATGTCTCGCCAAGCTCGACAAACGAGGCTCAAAGTAAACTTCTTTGTGTCGTTAACGTCAATGATGAGCGCGAATATCCCGGTTTTTGTCTCTATCGGTAGTTTTGAGAAGTAGCATGGCCGTGATCCAAGTTCCTTCATTATTTCCATCCACCGATCTACCAGGCTTACATCTTCCTCATCGACCGATTCTGCGGCAGCATTTATAATTTTTAGAGAATCATCAAGGAACTTCTGACTGCGTCTCGATGGCTCAAGGATCTGGATGTATGTTTCTATTATGGGGATTATTAGGTGGAAAATTGGGGCGTTCTTCTTATTTTCACGCGCTGCCTTCAGCGATCTGTAAGCATAGTGGCCACAGCACATGAGCAAGGTCAGAGATTTGCACGAACTTTGTCGAACGCATTAAAGGCTGCAACATATTGGCGCTGCTCAAGAAGGTCACGTCCTGTTTTGTAATAATCTTCCTGGATCATGAAAAGTGCGTAAGGCAGAAACGGCACGGGTAAATGAGAGTGGTAAGAAGGAGAGCCTCGAACACACGACGCGACGCGATTCACTGCATGTGAAAGATGGCTTACGTAAAGAACAGGAGTGCGTTTAAATTATTATTATTATTATTAATAGCAAGTTAAATGACAGCTAAATAGCACCTTGTATCGCAATACAGAATTGGGCAAGAAAGCATTGCATTGCTACTACCTTTGACATTGCGATTCTGCGCGTTTCCAATGACTGTTCTACGCTGTCGCAGTATAAGCATTTTTCTTTCATTTCGTATTCCTCAGGAAATGTGCGCCTTCGAGCATATTGTAACAGTACGGATGTAAACAGTCTTGTTTGATTTGAGTCCAATAATTTCTGAGGGCGGATCAGAGTTCTGACTCCGCGTCAATGGAATCGATCAAATCATCAGATCAGATCACGCACGCGGGAGAAAAGCGGCCGAGGAGTGGTTACCGCTTCGGGCAGTTCAACAATCACCATTCACTTGCCGTCACTCAAACGCGTGGTCCCATCTTTCTTTCTTCAACAACACCTCGCTCTCGACAACGACGACGGCAACGACGACCTGGTTGTAGACAGCGGGCGCGATGAGCAGACGCGACTCGTCCCGCGTGCATATCGCCGTTCGACAGAATGACACGCTCGCTGAGTTTGAGAACTGTAAGTTCATGTCGTTTCTCCCGCGAAGTTGGACAGGTGGACACCATGTATGAGCTACGTCCGCGTGTGCCGCACGCGCTTGACTCCACCATATCGTGTCACTCTCCGTGTATTGGCGTGAATGGCTTCTGACGCGCTTTCATTTCATGTTTCAAACACAGTCAAGAAGAAGTTCCTCTTTGCTAATAAACAAATAACAAAGTACGTCACGCGTCTTCCACAACCTTATTAATTACCACTACTTTTAATGACATCGATCTCTTGATTTGCGCACTACAAGACAAAACTGCAGCCTGAGTATGAAGATCGAGGAGCTGAACGCACACATCTCGACGCTGTACGTGGAGAACTTGCGGTTGCGCGCATCCGAAATTGCGTTGCAGTCGCAACTTAAGCGGGAGAAGGTCAAGAGCCACAAGATCATGGCCGATGCCGAGGCGGCGGTGAGTTTGACATTATGTTTTATTTTCGCTTCGCTTCGCCTACCTTTATGCTTGCCGGCTGCAATTTCTGTCAGACACGCTGCTGGCTTCTGAGCTTCTGAACTGATTGAGTTATATTACAGGCATTTAACCTACTCAAACATTTTGGTTTCATTCGGGAATCGTATAACGTACCACTGGAACGTCCGCACTCCCCAAAGGACAATGGAGACTCGTCCCCACCCTCACGCTGTCAGAAGCCACCGCCTCGTTCGCCATCTGCGCCGCGGCTGGCACAATTGCCGACTGTCCCGGACATCTATGAGGAGCCTGAGCCACATGAAGGAGAGACTTCGTCAGAAGAGAATGACCACGGGAGAAACATCAGGTCTGATCGACAAGCGACGTTGACGTCCTCAAGAAGGCGAGAGAGCATCTCGCGTTTGCCTGTTCCATCGCGTGTTTCGACACCTCCACCCGTATCTGCTATGTCGTCGCCGATGGAAGAAGGTCCTACAACAAGTAGGAAACGGAAACTTACGCGCAGAGCGAGTGGGCTCATGCCTTCCATCGAACCAACTCCGCGTCCTGTAAGCCCGGTGCTGGGTTCACCGATGCAGCAGGACATAGAATTATCAGCAGAAGAGGAAGCAGCGGCTTTACAAGACGTAGAAGCCATCGCAGCAAGGGAAGAAGAGCAAGACCACGACCACGAACTTCCATCGAAGAAACCAAGAAAGAAGAGCAAAACGCGAGACGAGAGTGACCGTGATATGACTGAGAGACGAGAGCGCAGGAAGGCAAAAGAGAAGGAGAATAGAGATGCTGCCTCGTCTGTGAGGTTAAAGGACGTGACGAACTCTCCTCGAAGGCGTCGCACCACCTCCACAGGAACAACGTCAGCAAGTGAGAGTGAGTACGGTTTCTGATTCCGTGTTCCACCTTTTGTTTCGTCACATTAACTCACGTATCAATCATCATTTTAAATCATTCTTTGGGTACCCTCGTCGTAGCTGATCACGTAAAACACGGAAAGGAATTACCAAACTCAGCAAGGCCTGCGCTGGCGATCTCACCTCCACTCAAGTTATCGTCTGAGGGTGATATAGCTTATCTCCCGACTCCTGCACCTTCATCAGCCGGAAACACGCCAGTTGCGCAGCATTTTTCACTGCCTCACCCTCCTCCGTCGTCTAATGACACTGCGGATGTTGGTACGAGTGGAGCTGGGCGCGAGCGGCGCACGCGGAAGAGCGTTAACTACGCTGAACCAAAGTTGAATACGTAAGTCATTGCTTTTCTCATGAGTACTGGTTTGGGAGTGAGTAAGAGGGAATGATGTCTCACGATGTATGGCCTCTAGGAAAATGCGCAAGCCCGACTCTATCCCGCCACCCGGCGCGAGACCTTCGTTATCTACATCCACTGTTCCCCTTTCTGCTACACAATCAACGATGCCGAATCAGAATCAGAATAATCTGATAAGAGGGCCGTCGTTACCAGAGTACGAAGAATCTGATGGGCATGGGATGACACAATCTGCTCTACCTCCTTCACGACCAACATCGTCATCTTCGACTTCATCATCTTCTGCAACGGCGGCGAAATCAATGACGGCGGCGCGTCGATCGACAGCGTCTTCTTCATCAACTTCAACTTCTTCAAAAAGAAAACGATCGGCGCGTTCACTATCTTCTCTATCGGATGACGGAGGTCTCGTCCTCGATGACGACGATGTCCGATTTGTAAACGGCACAGGAGAAGAAGAAGACGATTCGGATGGTGGAGGGGAGGCTGATTCGGAGTTTAGTGAGTTTAGAGCATGGGCGAACGTTAACATCAATTCCAGAAGGAAGAGTACCAGTGTGCAAAGTAGTGGTGGTCGTGGTAATAGTAACAGCGATGGTGGAAATAGTATGGTTCTCGATGTTGAGGAAGGATTTGCGAGGAGACGTAGTGTGGCTGTTTAACTTTATTTTCCCGCCGTTTTTCTGGTTCAACGAGTAGGTAGTTTAATTATTCTTTCTCTGGTCTTTTACTTTATCTTCTTTTCTCTACCCTTATGACCCATCACGATCACGAAACACTCCTACGCTTACATACACTCTTTCTTCGCTGGTACGATAGTACGATATATACTTCAGTCAATAGGTCCGTCATAGTTAGCAAAATTATTTTCTCTTTCTCGTCCCTTCTTTTCTCTCTTTGCTCTTGACCTGGCCCGACAAATGCAATTTGTATTTCATAGTTGTAAATAATTTCACACTACAGTATTGTTCCCTTGGCTTTTTTGGGATCTCTCTCTCACTTTTGGCAGTTGTTCCAACTTGGCTAATATCTTCCTTTCCTTCTTTTCTTTTCTTAACTTGCTATCTGATGATGAATAGGTAACGAACAGATGACGAAGAAAGTGGGGATTAGGTATCGCAGAATGAGTACATAATCACGATATGTAAATATACAGTCTTTTTCGGCTTGTACAATAAATCGGAGGTGCAGCGGTTTAAGGTGTGGACGAGTGAAGCAACACTGATCAGAAAGAAATTGCAGCCGTGTTGGCAGATAGCAATACGATTTCCATAAAGAAAAAAGTACGTGTTGAAGTGTCTCCAGACTACCGTATAAAAGGAAAAACCAGAATCAATACAAAATACGAATTAAATGACCAAAAAAAGGTCGAAGGTCGAAAAATCGTAAAAGCAAGGACAAAAACAAAAACAAAAACAAAAACAAAAACAAAAACAAAACACTCGGGAGATTTTTATCCCCTTCCACAGTGTCCTCCGCATCTGCGGACCCGTAGATAGAAACCCGAAAAAACCAAGGATCAATCGGTGCTACCAAGGCGTCGCCATCGTCATCTCTTCAACAGCAACGACGTCCTCGTCTTCGTCCGTATTCCCATTTGTCTCAACGTCCGCATCGGCATCGGCATCAGCGTTGGAATGCTGAGTATGAACATCACGCATCCACGCATCAAGATCTACATCCTGCCGCATAAAATGACTTAACCGATCCACCTGTGCGTCGACGTCGAATTGTGAGTTGTACGCTCCGAAGGATTTTTGAGTTTGACTTGGTCCTCGTTGTTGTGAATATGAAATTTGGGCTTGTGTTTGAGAGCTCAGAGGCAGTTTAGACACCTGCGTAGACTCGGCGAGAGGTGCGAAGCGTCTTGGATTTTGCGTGAATCCAAGAGGTGAAGTAGGTGAACCCGGTATAATCCGCATAGAGCCTCGCGAAAAATTTGAGCCCGAAGACGACCCAGAAGCTGGTGACGAGAAATACGACCTGTCTGATTTTGCTGGAGACGGATTCGCACCTCCTTCTGTCGCCAAGTCGTTATTGTCAGCACCAACATCCATATTTTGCACTGAATGTTTACGAGAAGGTGGGCGAGGACGTATACGTGACTTTCGTGAGGTCGTCAACGGGTCAGCCAAAATCCGACGTCTCCTCTCCGGGGTACATGGAAGACCCATCACAATATCGGTGCCGACGCCAACACCAATAGCACCATTAATAGCAGCATCCGGTGTCGTGGGACCGCTCTTCGCGAGAACACTCCCGCCACCAACACTTCTATATAATTCTCCACATGGTACATTCAGGAAATTCTCGTACGGCATACGAGATGTACAAGGCGGCGGTGTGCGAGGTGGACTTTGAACAAGCATTTGCATTCCGTTCGAAACAGGCACAATGAGCTCTGGTGGTGGAGTGAGCGGCCGTACATGTCCTCGAGTGGGAGTTGTCGGGATGGAAGGAGCTTCAGTGATAGGTGGTTGATGAATAACTGGACTACCGGGTGGCTGCTCAAATTGTTGAGAATTTGCAGAAGAATAAGGAGGAGATGGCGGTGTTGGTTGCGGGACCGGTTGCTCACGTGGCTCAGCAACATCATTGGGTACTATCTGAGCGTCTGATTCTAATTGCCTTCCAGTTTGAGATCCTTGATTATTGACCTGAATAGACGTATCTTTGTTGTTTACATCCTTTGTCGTCCAATCTGGTAAATCAACAGGTGAAACTGGCGAAGAACTTTGTAAAGTCCGAACTACTCCAAATACGTCCTTCTGTGTAGACGTCATCAAGTCGGGCGGGAACGATAGTGGGAGTGCCTGGGAATAGGAATTCAGATCGGGTATTACCAAACTGAAATGACTGGCTCACAGAGAAATCACCGAGTTCAGGATTTACATGATGTACGTCTTCCGCTTTACGAGTTACAAACATCTCTTCCTTTGCTTCCGTAGGCGGATTGTGATAGGCACATCTGAGGTCCGACAACGATTTGCTGTGCGTTTTGTCTGTGGTATCCGCGTGAATCGCATTAAGCGCCCGAGTGTCAACTTGAAGTAGGAAATTTTCCTCTCCGGTGTTTTGAACCTGAAGCCCGGTCTTCGGCCTCGGAGTGGCTTCTATCGGAACACCAGGCTTAGTGGCCTTCATTTTGCCGACATTGGTGAGAGTAGAGCGCTTGACGACCGGGAAGCCCAACGAAGATCGGGCCGAGTTCATAGAAGGGATGGGAGCTGCTGTGGCGAGCGATGAGCTCGGTGGTTGCAATCCAGCCTTCCAGTTTAGCACCTTGTCGTGAGCATCCTGCGATTGCATAGACGGTGGCGGGGCCGGCGCCATTCGCTCCTTCCCCTTCTGTTCGCATCGTTGTTGAGTTCTCTTTCTTTCCCAGTCAAGCCATTCCTCCTCTGTATCAACGAGAATCCACGGCACACCATCGCCTTGTTCTGATAGAGATCTACTTGGCTGCTTAGATGCATATCCAAACTTCGTGCTCCGTAATTTGCATAAGTCCGAGATGTTTCGCCCTTGGCGCACAGCCTGTTGAATGTCGGCTTGCAATTTCGCCGACCTCTCTTGTGACACAGGCGATGAAGGTGTTGATGGCGGACATAGTTCTTCAGGTAATGACGCGATTGCTAGATGCCACTGTGAGAGTCGGGAGGAGTACGAGAGACCGCGGGCGGGCTTGTTCGTTTCGCTAGAGGACTGAGAACTTGAAGATGCGGTCCGCGCGCCTGGAGGATCCGTCGGCGGAAATACAGGAGTATAGAGCGACATTCCCAACGGTATCCAACAGGCCGTACCCACTATCCAAGCATACGTCGCTCGTCGTCGCCGTCCACAGTGGACACGGTCGTGGTTGAAGCTGAGTGAGGAAGCACACGCGACGCGTCCAAGTCGGGCAACACGGCGAACCAGACTGGGCGTATAAGGCATTGTTGTCTCACGCTCTCACTAAATTGAACAGAAAGGGCGCCCTGTGATGATGGGCCCTGGCCAAACAGACTACCACAACGACTGCTACGTCAGCATGCCTTGTTTTGATGATTCTGTGCAAGTAGCTATCTGTAACTCAGCTTATCTATCAGCGTCGTATTCATGGCTTACTGATCTTTTGTCTCCAATTTGTCCATGCCTGAGTTCTCAGAGCAGATACTGGCTCGTCGTTTCAGTGATACAGACTGTGCTCATTCCCCCCTTCTGGTCTGTGGCAACACGCCCTACTGTTTCCAGTTCAATATCTAGGTCCTCCGTAGTTGCTCTGTATCAAAAGAACTGCTTGAGCTGTAATGACTACCCTGCCAAACCTGCGGATCTAGTTATTTGCAATAGCTGGATACAAGAGAGAATAATGATTACTATAATCAATCCGTCTGCGCGCTGAATTATGTGCATCGGAAGTAGCAGGAGCATTGCATGTGATCGCGTTGCGACCTCATGAAGCACGAGCCAGGAGGTACACAGCGGCTTGCTTACTCCGCCAAATCTACAGAAGCACGCGCTTGAGAGGGGGCTCGGTATCAATGACAGACTCTGCCACCGTGATCCTCCGCGTAATCTGGCTCGGGAAGCAAATTAGTCTAATTCTCGCTGATCCCGCTTCCATTGATCTATCTGAAATCCTGCTCAACAACCATGTGGGACACTGGACCGCTTCCTACACTACGGAAAACATATCCCGCTCTCCCCGCCGCCACCATCCCGCGCTCGTCGTTGTTGCCTTGTCTCTCAGCTTGGACGGAATATACGGGAATTCCTCCTGGAGTAACTTGTTGAAGACTTGCAGTTGCTGTCTTGACCGCCACGACTGGTGAATTACAGAAATGCACTGGAAAAGAGGACATAGCCATCGATGTAGAAACTAGTATGTAACGGACGAGTCTGTAGGATGTTTGAAGCCAACTGAGTTCATCCCCGTGGTCTTCTGTGCCTACTTCTCACCGCACTCGACTTTTGGCCGCACGCAAGATCGTTTGGTCTCATACAGCTTTCGTTTACCGACTATAAATTAAAGCGAGCGTTGACGCTATGGCTTCATCAAACAACTACACTTTCGCAGATCAGCTAGACGCTACAATGGGCTGGAGAAACCACGCTGACCCCGTTATCGAAGGCAAGCTCTACCTCGGAAAGTGAGCACCTCGCTAAACTTTATGCACTCTAAAATGTTAATCTCATCTACGTCATTTTCTTAATTTAGCTTGACCACCGCGTCCACTCCGCAAGGTCTGCACGAGCGCAAGATCACGCATATTGTGTCCGTTTGCAAAGAGCCGATTCCTGCTCATCATCCGCAATCCGGATACGTTATCCACAAGATTCCGGTTGCCGATGAGCCAACGGAAGATATTTTGATCCACCTTCCGGCAGCGTGCCAGTTCATTCACAACGCGATGAATACGCAGGGCGCGGTTGTTCTTGTACATTGTGTGCAGGGCCTCTCGAGGAGCGCCTGTGTTGTAGCCGCTTATCGTGAGTTCCGAACTCATTAATTTCCGAACGCTTAGAATCTGAATTCCTTATTTTTCGCAGTTATGTGGTCCAGACGCATGTCCGCGACAGACGCGCTTACAATCCTTCGCCAAGGTATTTACGCATATTTATCCACTTACCGAGATTGTTACTGATCTACATCCTCTCGCATTGTATCCTTCGTTAACCATCGTAGCTCGCGAGCAGATCTGGCTTAACCCGAGCTTCCAAGAGCAACTCATCGTCTTCGAAGCGTGCCGCTATGCGCCTTCTCCGAACGATGGTGTGTACCGCAAGTGGCGCTACCAACTCGAAGAGGCGCGTCGTCGCATTGCTGCGCAGGACGCCCGCGCTGCAGGCTCGTCCAGCAGGACTGGCTAAATTTAAGCCATATCTATCGCTAACAGGATGCTAAGCTAGATACATCGCTGAAGAGTCAGAGTTCGGCATGTTTGAATAAGGACACCCTCATCTGTTTTTATAGAATACGCATAAACCATATTGTCTTTTTAGATATACTTTAGATAGCTTAGACTCCTACTTAATACGTGTTTTGTAATATATTGTTAGTACGTAGTGTAGATACTGTAGCTCATATGTAGCTTAGTGTATAATTGTCACTCGTTACAACTATTTATAACGAACCAAATTGAATTTGGCCCCGTTTTGATCGAAGATGATTTACCTGGTGGTGTATTTATGTGTCCGTGATAAAGAAAGCGAACGTTTGCCTTAGAAACGAAGTCGGAGGTGCACCTTCCAGTGCAGTAGTACTGCGATGCAACATCCGATTTATGTCCTTGATACATGAAGGTTACTACACGACAGTGCAGCAAGTTTGGTTCCTTCGTACTAGTACGACGTGCTTACTGGACGGCATCGTTTGAGGATTCGTCCACAGTTTAGACAGCCTTTGGCAGTCAGCAGTTTGTATTGGGCAGTAAGACAAACAGTAAGTCGGTTTCAGTCGGTTTCAGTGTGACAAGAATGTTTTCTTACTACAACACAATGTATTCATACTGAAACATATTATCAAGGCCTATACACAGTAAGTAAACAAAACAAAACAGTCCTTGTATTATGACACAATTCTTAGCTTGTGTTCAGTCACAGTCATAATTCAAGTATCATCCATGCCTGAAACACCTCTTTACAAACTTGAGCAGGGCAAAAAATACAATATTAAGCCTATATGGGAGTAGCCTACAAATCAATAACTAATACTATGTATAACTTCCAAAGTATTTGAGAAAAGGTCAACAGACAGGACTAGCTAAATGATCTGGACTTTATCATCTGATTCACTAAAAGCCAAAGAAACTTTGTGAGTCTGCCTGGCTCTGCTATTGTTATATAGGCCTAACATAGTTGGTTAATATTGTACCTTTATGTTTGCATTGGAGAGTAGATTCTTACAGTAGAGATTAGTATATATTAAACTCCAGGTAATCAAGTACTTGATATAAAGTACTGGGAATTAATAATATCTGATCTGTGAACCTTTGTGTGTGTCATTTGTACTCAGAATACATGTTGCAGAAGTGAACAAGCAGTAGTCAAGTCTCTTTGTTAGTTCCAGCAGTCTAAGGATATGTGTGCTAGTAGAATAATGCTGAGTATGTTTATTTGTTATCCAGACTGATAAAAGCTTTCATCCTGCACACTCTCCCAGCCTTCCTGCAATTTACATGCAGATAGTTGTTTCCTGTCCTGTCTATAACTGCATGTTACATGTGTGTATTGGACATGCAAAACATGTTTTCAATGTAGATAAGTGTGTCTCAAGTGCACTTTATTCAATAGTTCGATTAAAAAGAAACAACGTGTATTGAACGCATGTTGATTGTGTCTTTGACAATGTGAAGAAAGAAGCTAAAGAAGCCTGATAACAATAGCGCCTAAGGTGACAACAGCACTTACCCTTACCCCTGTGAATAATGATACTTGCAAGGAATGAGGGATGATCTGAAGAATGCATTGCGAAGCATAGAAGTCCAGTCGGAACCGAGAAGAATCAAGCAGCTAGACGGATTGAGATTGCTCGCCTGACCCTTCAAGGGTCTGAATGCACCTGCCTAATTGTAAAGCGCATGAGGTTCCCGTCGACGATCACGATCGTGGGGTATGTGCGGGGAAAGATTTAATATCAATCAAGCCAATATCTTAAGACTCCCATGTCCTCGAGAATAAGTGTCCGGAAGCAGCACTTAGAAGCAGCTGAAGCCGGTCAGTTGAGCATGTCGCGTGCTCGAGTGAACAGTCGAATACACCTAGAATTAAGCCGATGTGCAGCAAAGTGTATCGATCGAATTGAAAAGTGGTAGAGCATGCTAAAGACGTCCCACTTCCTGCACGGCGTTGAACATGCTAGAACGCTATTATAGTCTTGACAGGAGGATGCTGGTGATCATGAGATTGAAAAGGGTCACGATGGATGAATGAGCAGGAGTAATAGCCTTATGGCCTTGGTAGCCTTGTAAATGATACTTCTCTAAGAGCACTTCTCTGCAAGGTGAGGGATAATAGCCAGGGGAGGATAAGATGAGGCAGTGCGGAAAACAATGAGGAAAGCACAGCATTACGGACTTATCGCGGCAAGTCGCGCTAGCTGGTGATGATCCAAAGGGTTCTCGGGACCTGTCTGAAATTAGTTTGTACGTGAAGAAGTGCAGAAGAGGCATTATCAATATACGTAGAATTCAAGTTGCCAGTTTGTGACAAGTGGGTTGAAATTAGCGCGGCATGCAGACCAGTGTACCTAACGGCTTGTGATTCTTTGATCGTAAATAAGAAACTCGACGGATTCGGTGCTCCGAAGGCAGTTTATCCTCTTGAACCCCGCATCATTGCCAAGTAAGTAATCTGGATAGGGGTTGCGTGAGGCCAAGGAATACCATACAACCTAACCACTCATGAATCCACACTCTTGATTATCCAGTGAGTAAGCGAGAACACTGCCTCGACAAATAAAGCATGATGTCAATTATAAAAGAAAAGAAAAGAAAAAGAAAAAGGAAAACGACCCCAGCTTCTGCTCCATATTTCTTGTCTTGTCCAATTCAAGCCTCCCTACCTAAGCTCTTCGCACGCCAAACTGCGCAGCAGCCCCTCTCGTTCTTGCCATTCAATCCACGGCACAGCCTTAGGCCTCAAAAGCATAAAGTTCGCGCGGGAGTCACGCGCGTAAATCCCGAGGAGGCTAGATTCGAAGAACTTTGTTTAAAGTGGATCATATACAAAATGAGTGTGGTATGATATCATGGAAATATCATAGCAAGGGCCATCCCTTCGGGCACTCGGAGAGTGGGGAGTTACAGTCGGAGTCACGTATCTTCCATATCCATAGGATGACGGTGATGGGTGGACATCGAAGCCTGTCAGAAGTACTACTAATCGCCCTTCGTACTCCGCTTCTGTGCTAGTCAGCTCGCGCGAAAGTTCCGAGTGGTAATGAGCGAAGAGCAATAACTTGCAGAGAGAAGAAAACAAAGGTTACCCGACGCACGATCTCCTCGGAGCGTTCATTCCTTTTCCTGCAAAGCCTTTAATCGATGGTAAGAAGACGCGCACGCGTCCTCGTGTTTGAGCAGTCAACGAGAGAAAAAACGCGGTAAAGAGGAGGACGCTCATGAGTAACCTGGGAACAGACTTATTGAATTGAATTGAACCTGCAGGCTTAGAGTGTCTGTGAATTACGGGAGACACGTCAATATACCCGTTTCGGAATTTTGCTCAACTTGCTCAATGGAGACAAAGCAGGGAGTCCCCGGGGTCCTGCTTTATTACTTTTATTCGATCGTCGCTGGTACCTGGCGTGCAACATCCGAGCCGTTTCGTTGTAAGTCGGGTAGGCAAGCTTGAGACTGGCGCTTACAGGAAAACTTCTCATAACACGAGGATCCAAATCTAAGCGAGTCAGCTTCAAACGTGCTTTTATGCTTCTCGTTTCGATATTTACTTTGTGTTTTCTGGGTCAAGGTATACTTTGCTCTTTCAAAATCACGCGACAGAGTGGACTTCCCATGTGCATTGTCTTACAACAATATGACTCGACCGGACCCGGTCCTAAGCCTAGATTCAGTAAAACAGAGAGAAAGGAGACATGGCTACCGTCCTGGACCTTATAATTTACCGTCCTATCTCCCATCATAGATCTTTTTTACGAAATTATCATTGATCTCAGATCCAAAGCAACTTTCGGTAATTCGTTTACCGTCCTCGGACTCCTATGTGTTTCTATACGAAGACTTCTTTCGTTTTACTATACATGAAGGAAGAGAAAGAGAAAATAACGGACATGTTTCAGTTCGTTACCCGAACGACTGTGCAATGGAACAACACGATGACGAAGCGGTTCGGCGCCGTGCACAGTGTGGATCCAAGAAAAGCTACTGGTAAGTAATCGTCGTTGCGCAGCCACCAAATATAAGAAGGTATTCCTTGATCAGGTCTTAGCCGTTTCCGTGACCGAAATCGCAATAAGAAAATCTATATTTGCACACTCCGGTAATTCGCGAGCCCATGCTGTAATTTCGATTACCGTCGAGAAGCGTCTTTCTCGTCAGCACACCACGAACGTGCGTCGCTGTTAATGCTAGCTAACCGGCATTCCCTACACCTTTCATCATTCATAAATCAAGAAAAATTGCGCTTTCGGGGACCCCCGCCTCTTCTTGCGCTCTAGTCGGTCTTTCCTACAGAAGCAGTACGATGTTTAAACGCTCGAATGTGTCATTATTTGATATTGAAAGGCAGGATAATGGCTTCTGCTTAACAAGCCACTTCTATATACTCTATTTCAGGCATTCGCCTGCAATGCTTCCCTGTACGCATCATAAACATAAAGAAAAAGTAATGTAAATATGTAGTGCGGATTTTTCGTCTTCCAAGCCGGCAGCTATGTAAAGTGCCTGCATTATTTTCACTCATGCTATTTTTATAAGTATCGTTCCCAGGAACGAGCGACCGTTTGTTTCCATCCGTCGTGGTATCCCGGAGCCGAGTACACATTTCATATTGTTACCGCTCTCTATCCAAATATATACATTTATTATTAACGATCGTCGTTGTCTCTACAATGTCAACGCAACTTTAATCTTGATAAATGGTATAATAAATAACGACTGAGTTTCAGAATCATGGAGCAAAGCTCGCCGCCCAAGTTGCCTCGTGTTCAAGAACATTGAAAGGCTATAACTGCATCAAGTAGGAAGATCACTTTAATAGTGCTACAGTCTTGAATTGTCCTCACACCCGAGTATCTTATCAAACTGAAGACGTTTCTTCTTGAAAACTTCTGAGGTGAGCAATGTATGGAATACATCTCGATCATTGTCAAGAAGACAAAGCAGGATTAGGCAAGAGAACTTCCATACATACACATTCTGTGTAGTTTGACTCGGAAAAACAGTACAACAGTAAGATCTGGTATCCTCCTCTCCTTTAACAACAACATGGCATCCAAGTAGTCGTAACCGTACCTGACTCCTGAAGCAAAGTGATGTTCCGCCATCTATAAGAAGCAACCCTCTTTCTAAAAGAAATACTGCATATTTTTATCCCTCCAGCATTCGGTGAGAGAAACCTGTCCATCTAAGGTTATACAACAGATAGGCGCGCCTGCTTCGACGTGTATCCGTGTATCCAACACAGGGACGGGTGGCCACGTATACGTACGTGCGTGTGTGTCTGTATAATACGATAGAGATGCATCGATTATGGTGAGAAAATCGCGCGAGAATGTGCGGAAGTAAATGTATTTTTATTACATAGTAATAAATATAAATACATACCGACGGTTGATGGCGGTGACGAGGTCTCCAACAGAACTATTGTATTTTTACCTCGAGTGGTGTTCGTATTGCAAATACACCTGTGAAATTACAATAAGTTAGTATGTGCTTGAATTTATAGGTATGCAGATCGTTCTCAAGGAATTAAGTGAGGATTCGGAGAATCACAGGTGCATCAAGGGTGGCAACAGACTACCTGCGACATCCCGGACATACCAGAAATGCAATGAGCCCAAAGAGAGTCTAGTACCAAGAGAATTCCGACACGTTCGGTAGGTGGTTTACTTGGCTTTCCAGCGGAGATTTCAAAGAAGCAGTTTGTAAATGATTCTTTGAATTCATTCGGATGAACGGTACGATATATGATATCTGTGTAGAACGAGGGCGGCCTGGTTGATAGGAGATAACGCAATGTGTAGCTTTTCGGGAATAATATAAAGATGGTTTCGACCTGCTTGCGTGTCGTTTGTCTCCGAGCCACCCGTCGAACGTGCTCGTTCGCTTGCGAAGTTGATGAGAATTGATGAGCTCGTTAGAGGTGTCAAGGGGGAGGAATCTCGGTAAATCCAGAAAAATTTCGAGAGACAGCAAGACGGAGGCAAAATCACCGAGATCTGCTGGCTCGATGAATAGGGTTCGAGTATGTGTAAGACACCGTATTTATTGTTTATCAAATCATATTATTGGAAGAGTCGGCGACTGATGTGAATAGTGATTGGTAGATGAATTAGATGGGTGCTGATGGACGCCGACAGATAGGCGCTATTTTATTGGTGTAGAGAGACGACACCTGTTCTTGTCTTGTCGTTCATTCGTGCTTCTCCAGCGCCCTGGTACTCGTGTTGCCTGAGAAAAGCGGCGAAGAGCAGTATGGTGGCCACCCCCGGACTTCACCGTGAACGTTTTTTACGAGATTGACAAAGAGATGACATGAACAGACCTGCACTAGTGTTCATCGCGTTCAGGGGATAGAAGGGATGTAGGCTCGGCCAAGACCTTGGCAGACGATAGAAGACGCCCAAATGAACCTGACGAAGTGATTGAGCCGGGTTCGTCGCTCGTAAATAAGGGATATGCGGACATCGTGCGCAATTTTTCTGTCTCGTGGTCAAGGGTTCCGGCTAGGTGACCGAGGCAGGCAGACGGCGACTTCAGTGAGAGCAGGACAGACGGAAGCACTTGTTGGATCGGAATCGAACGTGTGGGAAGCTGAGAAGACGATTGAACCGCGCTCGGACTCGGAGTCGGACGGGAATGCGGCGAAGGGAATGACGTGTTTCGGAGGGAAACAGTGCGAGGATGATGCCGATGGAGGCGTCATCCGCGAGAAAGCACTTCCAGACAAGACGGCAACCGCATAAAGAGAGAGCGCAACACGATCACGAGTAGGAGGGAAACCTGAAAAGTGAAGATGGGCTGAAGCTACGCGAAGGGGTCACCGACTCTTGGCAGGTTGCTACTCAAGCACCAGAAAGAAGCAGAATAAACTGCAGATGTTCATGAATAAGTTCTGTATGTATTGTTCTACAAGCTTGAATGGTGACCTGAGCGGAAGCAAAAGAGGAATTTTGAAATTGTGGAAATTGAGCAGAGAAATCCTGAGTCAGGATTGCCAAGGGCGGCAGTGGAGGAGGGACCCCGGACAGTGGCAGTAGCTAATGAAGAGTGAAAAGGAGAGAGACATCACGGACCTGCTTGTCCGCATCGTCCTGCATTCTCCCCTCTTCTCTCCCTCTGTCCTGTGTCCACACTCGCCCTCTCTCCTCTCTGTCGCCCTCCATTCCGACAACAACAAATAGCACCTGATCGCCGCACAGCACACCGAGCCTCCATCGGATAAAGGGAGAAAGCACAGGCTGCGGGTGGGATCTGCTTGAGCCATGACCACCTTGATGTCCCCCTCTGCGGGCTACCAATTCATGCCCACCGCCCCACATACAAAACCGCGTCGTCGCACAGGTATACTCCTCAACGGCTCACCATCATCCTCAGCACCCAACTCTCCGAAGTGCGCGACATACCTTGCTCCAAGTTCATCGAGTGCTGCCGCTGGTATCCATCAAGTCCCGTTCTCCTCCCACTCCTCTGCGTCCTCAAGCACTTCTTCGACTGACGACATCCTTTCCTCCACCTCAGCAACCAGCGCAGGCGGCACCATGGCATCTTCATCAAAGCAGTCTTCGCGGAAAATTCGGTTCGCTCCACTCCCAGAGCCACGACGCGACGAATATGATGAGGATCTTCTCTCACCCGGCTTTTACGAGGTTGATAGCGCAGCCTCGTCTCCGAACTTTGCGGCATCCGCTCTGCAGTCCCCGTCTGTATCTGCCAATGTCATACCGCCGACGCCCATTCGCCTAGCCTTTCTGAAGGAGTCACATGCTCAGGCTTCTGGTTCCACGCTCGGTCTTTCGTTCGACGGCACAGATCCGACCGACAGTGGACAGGCGACCGAGACAAACACGATCATCGGATCCGAATGCGGTACCGACGAGACGCCTACAATGTCGAACTCCAGGAAAAACCGTTGGTCAAAATTACTTCGTCTACCAAAAGCAGGCCAGCTGAAGCAGCCGCCACGGACGCCTGACGAACACGGGCAATTTACCCTTTGGCGTTCCTCCTCCCGCGAGTCAAATGCCTCCGTATGTTCTTCTCGAGCAAGTGTATTCGGATATATGTTCGGTTCGCACAGTGAGCCTAATGGTAGCTCTACGAGCCTCGGGAACCCGATTTCTCGTCGGAGAACCTTTACCGGTGCTGACTCCGCTCCCACGTCTCCGTTGTCTTTCCGCGGTGGGCTTTCACTGAAGCCTGTTACAAGCGAAGCCGGGACTGCCACGGCTCCTGCCGCTCGTAGCACGAAGACCTCCAGTGCACCTCCCACTGCAAGACGCGAGACACGTCTCTTAAACGGTCGCATATATGGGCGCCGTCAGAATGGCCCTCCAAAGAATCTGTTTGCCAACATCAAGGATACAGAACCGGAATTCGTTGAGTGGGGACACGGTGGGATGGGTAGCGTACGAAACACGGCAGGAGCTGGCTCGTCTAAGTACGCGGCGCTGCAATCGAACAGGAAATTGAGTGTGGGTCATGATGACGGATCTGGGGCTGCTGACGACGATGATGGTGGCGGTATGGGTTGGGTGAGGAGGAGAAGGGAGGCGAGGGAGCGCGAAAGGAAAGAAAGAGAGGAACGTGAGGCGAGAGAGAAGACTGCTACAGAAGGAAAGACAGAACCGGACTCCGACGGTTCGAGGACCGGAGAGCGAGAAGAGTCGAAGCCAGAGCACGATACGAAGGAGGTATTGGGGCCTGTATCGCCTAAGGATGCGAGTGAGGACAAGGAACGTCGACTATCTCGAGTGTCGGAGGAAACTCAGGCAGTTGTTGAACAGGCAGAGCAGATGGAAGAGAAGGATAAGAAGGGCAAGGAGCACGTCTATACCGCAGTGAACGTCCCAGCCCCACGGCCACATAATGGTCGGTCGAACTCGCGTACCCATTCGCTGTTGGGCTCCACCCAGCCGACGCCTGGTCACAGTGCCACAGCGACACCGACTGCCGAGAAGCTTCCATTTATGCTCACTACGACATCGCCGCCTGGCTCGCCTACTGCAGCAAGTGCATTAGGTCCGAGCCCACTCGCATTGTCCGGCGTCACAGCTGAGGATGAGGCAAGCATGATTAGCTCGAGTGCTAGTTCCAGCTTTGAGGACGAGAGCCCTGTTGGAGACAAAGATGAAGACAGAGACGAAGAAGCTGAGGATAGCGAGGATGAAGAGGATGATGTGAGTATGCGTTTCATATCATTCTCTAATGTTGCGGGGAAAGTGTGGAGTTACGACGCCCAATGCTTCCACTCTCAATGCCTTAACGATTCAATTACTGATACGTTTCTCTTCGTGTTTAGGAACAGGCACGCAGAACTGCAATTGCAATTGGTGCGGGTGTGGAAAAGATCTCGCGACACAAGGACTGAAGTCGCAAGTGCCAATCCTTCCGCGCTACTTCGAGCAAAACGTAGCACCGAAAATTCCCGCCTGGATGCGTACCAGGCCCTCTTCCACCTCCGCAACCTCCCCAAGCTTCAATTCGCTGTAGGCAAGACGCATACGCCGCATTCGGAGATGGTCTTATCTTCTCTTTCATCTGTAACCATGCTCATCCCAACCCACTACAAAATCATACAACACTCTCCCCGCTCTAATTGACATTTCTGCAGCTATATCGTTATTGTTTTTTCTTCTTTGGATTCCTTTCTTTCTTCGGGATTAGTTCTGTTGGGTCTGGCAATGGGAAACTTCTTTTTCTTTTTTTCTTCTATTTTTGATACGTCCCGTGCGCCGAACACGACGCGATTTGGATGGATCACTGCTTCGAGGCACGCTGCTGGACATGCTTTGTACGTGTACATCAAGATGTGTGATATATGGTGGTGATGTACACCTACTTCATTGCTAGTTGGTCCATCTCCTATCATCTGATCCCTTTGTTTTTTTTTTCGAACCGGTCCTTGTATCTTGCCGCTGCAGCAACTTCTTCAGTCTCGGATCTGGACCGGCAAATTCCTTGGTCTCACATTCGCCTTTACAGGCTTTCCTTTTTTACTACCCTATCTTTTTGCGTATCTCACTGTCTCATTTTTAATTTGGCAATTTTTTCCACAAGAATATATCTTTCCTGGTACATTATCACATCACATCACTTTATCATTCAGCCATTGTGTAGAATATTGAGCAATGAAACATTTACAAGTCACTTCCAATGAATTTGCTTGGTATCTGGTTAAGATCCGGGGTCTGAGTGAGCTTTGTCGGTTTCAAGATAGCAAGTCCTGAACTGACATTGCACTGGATCATTATACTTTGATACTATTCACCCCAGTGCAGATATCAGGAAATTGAATACAAGGATGAACATAGCAGGAAACAATACCAGTGATAGTGGATATTAAATTTTAAAGTAGAGATGATCAAGCCTTTTCTCGGCTTTCAATGTCTATTTCCGTTTGTTCTAGACTTGTCCTGTCAAGTGAGCAAGAAGAGGCGAAAATAGAGCGAGACAGTGGAAGTGATCGAAAAGACTGCTCTAGTACTTTCTGGAAGTTGTCACTCTAGGCCTTGTCTCGGGATTCCTGTACAGATACCAGTGCTCCTGTGTTGTGTTTGTTTTGAGCAAAACCGTGACAAGCCTCAGTGAAGGAAAGACAAGGGAAATACCAAGAGGTCTTAATCACGAATGACCATGAAATAAATCACTTGAAACAACTCGAGTTTATCCTCCCAAATCTTATGCTCCTGAAAACTTCCCTTAAGCAACCATTGCAAGGAAGCACATTACCTTCCGAGACAAAAATCAAATGAAGCTGTAGCAGGAACGTTAACAGCGATCAAGTGTGGTGCGAGGGACCCCGGAACCTGCCTAAATCAACTTCTTTCTTAAAGTAGTGTGAGAACCAAATAGGGCATGTTGACGTGTCCTTGTGCTTACGGGTTTTGAAGCTTCCCCGCAGCATTCAGCTCAGTAAATTGTAATCCAATTTGTCACAGGATACTCATACCCGCCCTCTTCTTTCCTCTCTTCTTTACCGCGTTGTTTACTTGCTGTTAACTGCGCAAACACGAGGATGTGTAATTTCTTTCTATCGATCGATTGCTGGGCTTGCAGAGAAGGAAAATGAAGTGTATCCCTCCGAGGAGATCGTTCATTGAGTAAAAATTAGCATGACTACTGGACTTCTTTTCGTGGTAACACTTCTTCTACTGCTTACTATCTGGAACCTTCGGTCGATCTGGCTAATACGGAAGCGGAGTGCGAAGTTGCGAGGGGAGGGCTACAATGCGCTTCGATACCAAGGTGGCATCATAATTGAATACAACCACCCCATGGAAGCATCAAGACTCCGCCCTTTGCGCCCGACTCCATATTCGTTGTATAGACTTCTCTCCACTTACATATATTCCAACTAATCGTCTCCGAAGAAATGATTTGTTTTTAGCAACTTATGACCTCATTGCAAATATGCAAATATGATCCGCCTTGGTTTTGGCCCCGCGCATGGGATTTACGCACGCGTGATTGTGATCCCGCCGGTTGAGCGCGAACTTTTCGCTCTTCGAGTCTCGTGGTATGGTTTGAATAGGAAGAACGGACGAGGCTGTGTAAATTTGGAGTGCATACGTTTGTTTGCTTGTTTGTTTGGTCCGCGAAGCATATTCTGACTGATGAGGATTAAATGGGGGTTGATTTGGATACCGTGACGGATGTGTGTTGAATGCTAAAATGTTCTCTTTTGGAATGTAGGTTACTTGAAGTCTCAATTCCAGCGAGGCAGTGTACAAGAGTTCGTCCCCTCCCATGCGTGGAATATGGATTAGCTGGCGGGGTAGCCTCGTGTATTGCCCCTGTCCTCAGTGTTCTGCATGACCACTTGGCAAAGATTCGGGATTCGTTGAGGATAAACTGTCTTTCGTCGGACAGTCGGTGTTCAGGTGGAATCACAGGTCTAAGGAACTCTGGTCTTCGTATCTCACCTTTCACAATACTTCCGGGCGTTAACTTGGAGACCGCGGCATGCCATCATCCTGCTCAGGATTTTCCTTTGCCATGTTCACAAGTCGAACGTGCTAGGTCCAGAGAATCACTTTAGATGATCACCCGCACAGCTTGCCATGACAAGTCTGTACCTACTGTGCCATTTCTATGTTTCCCGCACTGCCTCATCTTATCGTCCTTTGGCTATTATCCCTCACTCCGCTTGTATGGTGGCACCGGAGGGGCTCCTTTTCAACTCTACAAATTACAATCCTTCTCTTCTACCCTAGCCCATCCATCGTGACCTCTTATACTCTCAAGGTCACTGTACCGAAGACCGAAGCAGCATTCCAAGGAGTTGGACACAATGCAGGAATTGGAAAGCCTTGTGCATGTTCATTGTTTTCCTTCACTTCTTTTAACGCGATCGATACAGTCTGCTGCGGAATGTCCTTAATTTCATGATATCTAGAATGTTCACTCAAGCACGCGACCTGCTCAACTGACTGTCCTGGTTCTTAGCTGGTTCTATCGGTTACTTCTGGATGCACGTTCCTTATGGAGAAGAAGTTTGGGATAATTCTAGATCAAGATACTCTCTTTCCCCCACATCTACCCCACGATCGCCGATCGTCAATGAAATCCTCATGTCTGAACAAAAAGGAACAACAAACTGGTGCAGACGTAGAACCTCAAGGTTTTCTTTGTTAGCTACAATAGATCCGTCCCATTGGTTCTTTCATTCCAGGTCTAACCATGTCTTACGCTGTCCACTGAGTATATTTCATTACTTCTGTGTTTCTCTCCGAGGCCGGCGGAAATTTAGCTGGGGTAGATGTAAATTTCATACTTGTTATTTTAATTAACTCCCCTCTCGCCTATTCACCTTCTATTCACATCCAACGTGCGCGAAGTGTGAGTATACAGTCGCGGCTCAGTTCATATCTCACTATACACAATGCATGCCTATCTAAAATCTACACAAGCGAAATGACTACTGTAACGAATACGTGGCATCCTATTGGCGATAGAAACGACTTAAATTCAGCCAGTCCTGCTGGACGAACCTGTGGCGCGGTCGTCCTTTGCAGCAATGCGACAACGCGCCTCTTCAGGGTGGTAGCACCGACATCAGGAAAATATCTCAAACTTTGTATTAGCTTATATGTATATAAATTATATATATTTTCTACATTATGTATAAGAGCTTATTGTGTACCTAGGGGTTTTAGGAAGGTAATAAGAAGCTAAGAAAGCTATTAAAAAGTCTTGACTTTCTGGTCAAGAATAATAAGAATTGTAGTACTTACTAAGATATACAAGTGCTTAAAGTGTACCTTGCAAAATGGCTAAGTATTATAATACTTGTTATTTTAACAAGGAAAACATATAAATATAAGATGTATAAGATAAAATTTTCCTTATATCCATTTGTTATTGAAATAACAGTTTATAATTATATTGAAATATTGTATAAATACATTATTATCTACAACAATTAGGGAAATGATCTGACGACAGATGGCAAGTGTATTGACAATAGAGAACAAATGTGTTCCTCAGCCGTTTGAGGTAGTCTTTGTCACCATACCTTGGTCGCCTCTCGGTCCCTGCAAGTTGGATTGTGCATGGATTGTGAGATTGTACGGATTGTAGAGGTCGAGGTTGCACCTGTGAGGCAGATTTGGAGGTTGACTTGTAAGGGGGCAAGGGGTTGTTAGCAAGTGCAGGTGCTTGAAGTAAAGAGATGAATGCACTGCGACGGCGTGTAGTGAGTGTGAGTAGTGCACCGGGGTTGATATCCGGAGCATTGAATGACTGATTT